AGAGAATCTATTTGGGCAAGGAGAGGAAAGCATTGTCCTTGCCCTTTTTCCTGAAAGGGCGGGCACAAGGCCACTGGGTCTAGAAGGCACAGAAGGGACCTTCCAGAGTTGGGCACGATGGTGCAGGCCTGTGATACCAGCACCCTGGGAGACTAGGAGGATTACAAATTCCAGTTCCACTTAAGCAACTTAGCAAGAGCCTATCTCAAAACTTAAAAAATGAACTTGGAAAAGGCGCTGGGGGATTTAGCTCATTCACCAGTAGAGTACCTCTGAATTCAATCACCAGAACCACAAAAAGGATTGGTAGTGGGGGATTCTGGGAGCCAGCTCCAGGTTGCAATGTGCAGGGTTAGCCCTTCTGCCCAGGGGAAGGGATGCTTTCATCCTGGGGTTAGGAGGGACACAGATGAGCAGAGCAGTCTTGGGAAAGAGACAACAACAAGCAGTGTGACATTATCCTTACATTACAGACTCTGTAGAAAACAGAATGGTGAGTCTTCAAATAATTAAAAATAGAATCTCCATGTGACCTAGCATTCGGCTTCTGAAGGTATACTGAAAACAGGGATGGAACACATACTTACACAATAGGCTCAGAGTAGCACTGTGTAAAATTGCCTAGAGTGAAAGGAACTCATAGTCTGTGGGTGGATAAATGGATAAAGAAATGTGTCATGTACATACAAAGAGACATTACTTTAAAAAGAAGAAATTCCAGCACATGCTGTACCATGGATGAACTCGAAGACATTATTATGAGTGAAATAAGCCATAAGCAAAAAAACCCACACACTGTGTGACCCTGCCTACATGATACACCTAGAGTAGTTAAGTTCAAGAGATCAAAAGTAGAATGGTAGCTTCCAGGGGATGAGAGGACAAGAGATGGGGAGCTATTTAATGGATACAGAGATTCAGTTTTGCAAGATGAAAAGAGTTCTGGAGATGGATGGTGGTGAAGGTTGGACAAAATGCGAGGGCACTGAATGCCACCAATGTGCATACTTAAAAATGGTCAAGAGGGTAAATCTTGTGTTGTATATATTTTGCTGCAGTTAAAAACAGATTGTCCTCAACTTTCTAACCTACAGGCCAGAATTCGTGCAAACCAATCGGGGTTGAGGGGGAGACACAGAGGCAATTCTGTGCCTACACTACTGAATTCCAGCACTGTTTCAATGGCTCTGTGGCCTCTGCCATAGTTGGATCTTGAATGTGCCCCAGAGGACCCTGTGTTAATGTTCTGATCCCCAGCCTGTGGTGCCTTAGGAGGTGGTAGAACCTTTGGGAGGTAGGGCCTGATAGGAGGAAGTTGGGTCACTGTACCCTGGAAAAGTTGGAATCCAAACCTTTCCTCTGTCTCTCTCTGTCTCTCTCTGTCTCTCTGTCTCTCTCTCTCTCTCTCTTTTCAGATCACTACAGAGTCACAGACTTTCTCTGCCACACATCTTGCCATGATGTGGCACCACTGTCGTGCTACAGTCCCAAAGTGATGTGGCCAAGGGGCCAGGAACTGAAATCTCTAAAACTATGAGCCAAAATAGACCTTTCTTCCTTTAAGTTGACTTATCTCAGGTATTTTGTCACAGTAGCAGAAGTTAACACAGCCCCCAGCCCCTTTCATACTGGCACAGAGGAGGAGGGCATCTCTAAAGCAGTTTTCCACCAGTGTACTTTCTGTTTGCTTTACTCAAGTACCTCCCACAGTCCTGTCTTCTTTATTAAATTTTCATGGTTGATACCCTCATCTAACAATTTTGGTTTTATTACTTGGACCCCTTCTTTTTTGGGGGGTACTGGGGATCTAACTTGGGACCTTGTGCTTGAGAGTCAGGTGGTAGAACCATGGAGCTAAATCCCCAGCCCTGGACCCCTTCATCTTTACACAGTACAAACACCCTTAGTGCTCTTCAGGGACAGAATTTCTGCCCTTTGGTTGAAGTACTGGCGTTAAAGGCAGACAAATCTTAGACAGAATCCATGTTTTACTTTTGCTAGCTGGTTGGCCTTGGGACTGTTGCTTCTGCATCTATAATAAAGAAATAGTAATACTCTGCATTGTGGCAGGATTAAATGAAATAATCTATGCACACAGTCAAGTCTTGCCTGACTTATAGAGAATATGAAATAAAAATAGCCACTAAGAGTACACATACATGCAGGCCCAGGTCAGTCTATGAACTGTGTGGTCTTTATAAATGCTCACCTCAAGTTCACCTCTTTGATCACTTCCTTGACTTTCCTTGGTAGCATTAAATACTTTATTTGTTCTAACACCATCAGATCTGAAACACACCTGTTATTGCACCAGAAAGATCATGTACACTTTGAGGACAGTAATTTTTATAACTTTATTTACTTTGGGATTTTTCATAGTATTAGGCTCAGAGTAAGTGACAGATGTTCAATAAAATAATCAAAATAATAATGGATTGTTAATTATTGTAATGTGTTTAAAAGTATATTACATAAAGAGTGCTATATGTAAAATAAAAATAAATAAAAAATAGTTCTCAAAATCAGGGATCTAATGATCTAGGCACACTGCCAGTTCTTTTTGGCTGATTTTTATGTTTTGTGCTTAAAACAATAATTCCTTTCAACTTTAAAATTCTAAACAAGCACCTCATAGCCACCATAGCCCACAACTGTCATTTCAGATGGATCACGTGGCCTGTTTTGAATTTCACCCCTGACCAAACTCCTCCATTTAAAAACCCAAGCTAATTCTTTTCTTTCCTCACCAACTTCAAGCCTGCAGAAGAACAGATGGGATAGAATAAGATGATTTACTGTTTACCTATAAGTAACTTTCTCATAAGGGAGGACATGTTAAGGGGAAAATGATGATATGGGTAATCTTAAAACAGACAGTTACAGCACAGATCAGAACATTCACTAAGGAACATTCACAGCATACCTGTAGACCTAGGTAGTGGGTGTGGGGTAACAGAGGGATGTGCTGGGAAAATGAACTGAAATGCTGGAGCTGTATTTTGGGAAGTCTAAGTAAACAGTGGTGAAGGAATACATTTGACCAAAGTCAACTGGAATAGCCTTTAGAAACTCGGCTTCTGGCCCCTTCTAGCCTTACTTCATTGTTTGAGATACACAAACTGAACCTGAACATGCTTCAGAATGAAACTGGTATTGTTTACAAGCAGTAAAACTAAAATGGCTTGTCACCATTGTGGTAGCTGCCATTCACTGAGCCATACTGTCATCTTTACCTGCGTTCAATCTGCACAGGTTATGGAAGCAAACCACTGAATTATAAGCCTATCTCAGCAACTTGACACTCATGTGACTTAGCCTCAGGGTTTTAAATTGAGGTATAACTAAGATGTTGTGAAGCATATAAATTTTACATTTAAATGTGAGTGAGAGAGGATATGTGCATATGAGAGAGAGAGAGAGAGAGAGAGAGAGAGAGGATGTGGTGTCCATGTCTTCGTGTAATCCTTTTTCCTCAATGTGAAGTCTGCAATGAGCACTACCCACAGAACAAGTCCAGGTGATAGGAAGTCACTGCTGCGAATATGCTGTGTTGTATAAGATCCTGTCTTAGCAGACAGATGGTAGAGTCTCTCACTGAGGGCTGGATAAAGTAAGTTAGGGATCTCAGTTGTATATCCCGCAACAATAAATTCTGCTGACACCAAGAAATGAATTTTCAGATGAGAGCACAGCCCAGGCCACACCTTCAGTGCAGCCTCCTGAGAGTCTGAGATAAGAATTCCCGGAAAATGAGAGGATAAATGTGTGTTGTTTTACTGCACTAAGTTTGTAGCAATTTGTTCCACAGCACAGAGAAAAAATACAATATCAACCTAACCACCATTCATATCAAAATACAGAACATTTCTAGCTCCTCAAAAAATTCTCTCTTGTGCTCTCCTGGTTAGCAGTGCCCACCACCCCAAGGGTAAACATTACTCTGACCTCTATCACTGTGGATTACTTCTGTTTGCTTTTGAACTTCATATAAATGGAATCATATGGTGTATATGCTTTGATGTCTGACTTCCTTTCCTAAACAGTATGAGATTTATCCAAGCGGTTCTGCGTAACATTAGTTCATTCTCTTTCCTGCTGTAATGTAGTCTACTGTTTGAAAATGCCATGCCCTACGCTATTGTTTGTGGACAATTTGATCCTTTCTTAAACTTTTGGTTGTTATGCTACCATAAACATTCTTGAACATGCTTCTAGTAGGAAAAAAAAATCACACTTCTTTTGGGTATATTCCACTGGAGTGGCATTGCAGTCATAGGGTTTGTATATTTCTGCTTTCAGTAGGTACCAAGAAGCATTTTACAAAGTAGTTAACACTCTGACAAATGGTAAAGAAAGTCTGTGTTCTATCCTCACTATGAGCATTTTCTCAGCCTGTTTTCTCCTTAGAAGAATGGGGGTAACAGTAGTGCACATGCCCCAGAGATGTTGCTAGCACTCAGTGAGATCATATAGACATTTTTTAAAAAGACTTGTTTGAAAAGTGGTAGGTGTTTATTTCTATTTTTCTAGCCTGGTCACACAGAAGTGGCTGGGCTGGGGTTCAAACCTCAAAGGATGATTCCAAACTCCATATTCTTTCCATCATACTCATCAGGCTCTTTCTAGTTATTTTTAGTAGCTATCAATATCCATAAATATTTCAAAATTATCTTTTTTTTTAGACTGTCCTCCTGCCTAGATCCTCTTAAAGTATGTGTTTTTCCCACACAACCTAGAAGATAAATAGAACGACAACTTGACAACATGGAGAGTATTTGTGACCTTTAGAATCAAAAAATGTGTACACTCCTCATTGTAAGTTACTGTGGATCATTCCTCCTGCTGGCTGTCTTCACTGCCTTCTAGGGGGAAACAGAGGAGGAGGAAGTCAGTACACACATGTGACAGGTGCATGTGCGAGAGAGGTGGGGCATGGTGGGGCTTGGGGGAGGGTGCTGAGTCCTTAACTGGGTAAGGACCTGAGTCCCATATAGACTCACCTGTGCCTGGTTTATGCCTCGTGTGCTGTGCTCTGAATGTCTGTATCCACCATCATGAATGAGATTAGTGCCATTATTATAAAAGAGCTGGAGGGAGCCCATTTGCCCCTTCCATCCTGCAAGAACAGAGGAAAACATCTATGAAAAAATAGGCCCTCACTAGACAACCAATCTATTGGAATTTTGATCTTGAACTATTCAACCTCCAGAACCATAAGAAAGTAATAAATTACCCAGCCTAAGGTACTTTGTAATAGTAGCCCAGGTGGACTAAGAGAGTGTATTATGGGCTGATTGTTCGTGTCCTGCCAAAATTAATATTGAAATCCTAAAGGAGATGTGGCCTCTGAGAGGGATGAGGTCATGATGTGGGTTGTCTCATTTGTGGAATTAGTGCTCTTTCATTAAAGAGATCTCAGAAAACTACCTTGCTCCTTCCAACATGTGAGAGCACAGTCAGCCCTCGTCAGACACCAAATCTGCCAGCACTTTCATGTTGCACCTGTCAGCCTCCAAAATCCTCAGAAATACACATTTGATATTTAAGCCATCCCAGCTAAGGCCTTTCTATGGTAGCAGCCTGAACAGACTCAGCATACATCATGCTTTGCCTGGATCTGCTACTCCTAAAGCATTGCATGACCTTTCCAGAATGAAACTTTCTTTGAGAGCTGGATCTCATCTCAACAGCAACACACTCCTCTTTCTCCCTTTGCTTCCCTCATGCTGGGCCATGTGCAGTACCAGTTCATTAGTATCAGTAAAATTAATCAAACACAAAATGCTTCATACAGCTAAGATGATACTCAGGGAAATGTTAAGGCTTAGATCTAAAACGTTCCCCCAAATTCTCATGTGTTTAGAAGTGAAGCTTTCAAAAGTGATTGAATCATAAGAGTCTGAATCTCTCCGAGTAGATTCATCCATGGACAGATGACAGTGTGATGGCATTATTGTGCAGTGACAGAAATGGGAGGTGGGACCTAGTGAAGGGAGGGGATTATAGTTGTGTGACATTAGGGACTGTGTCTGGACCCAGTCCCCACCCGCCTCCTCTGTCTCTGCCTCCCCTCCCTCCCGCCTTCCTACCATGAGATGAGCAGCTTCCTCTTTACCCTTCCACCATGATGTTCTGCTCTGCCACAGGCCTAAAAGCAATGGATCCAGCTGATCATGGACTGAAACTTCTGATATTGTGAGCCAAAACAAACCTTTTCTCTTTGGTTCACCTCAGGTATTTTATCACAGCAATGGAATGATGACTAATATAGAAAAAAAAAGTAGTTTATTAAATACCTAGTATATGCCAGGTTCTGTTTCAAGCATTCCACTTATTTTTATTCATTCAGTCTTTACAGTAACCCTACATGGTGGGAACTGCCAAGATTTCTATTTTACAGATGTGGCAGCTGAGGCCCCTCTGTGGAAGCTGATGCCTTGCTTGTAGCTGGTATTCAAACCAAGACAGCTGAGCTCCATCCCTCACCTCTGATAGGAATGTATCTCAGTAATGGGCGTTGCCTCCCCCTGATTTAAGCAGAACAAAAAACATGGGCTTAAAGACTACTAAAGAAACAAAGAACGGTAGATATTAACATGCTCTTAAAACTACAAGAGAATGGTTCTCAGGAATAAAAAGAGTAGACAAGCTAATGGAAATAGGTGAAGAGACATTAGAAGACAAAAGATAAACAACAAGCATGTGGGATTACTTACTGAAGTTCTGAAATAACCTCAGATTATGCATAGATCTGTGCACAACTTGAAATGTTTATTCTGAGTCTCCAACTTTTAGGTATATTAGTGGTTATTTCTATTTTCTTTCAAATAAAGTGCTTGAGATTTGATGATGAGGTCTCATTATTAGTGTTGTTATTGTCATCTAGGGCATGATGATTACATACCAGGCACCATGTTACACATTTCATTTTATTGTTAAAACCACCTTATAGGAACAGTTTATCATTTTCATTTTACAATGGGAAAACGGAGGCAGGAAGAAGTTACACAAATGGCCTTGTGTTCCCAGGTGCATGTAGTTGGCAGTGCTGAGATCCAAGATAGGCAGGGGGTGTAGCTCAGGGATAGAGCATTTTCCCAGCTTATAAGAAGCCCTGAGTTCCCCAACATCATATCACAACAGAGCAAAATGAAAACTTGAGGACTGCCTGGCTTTCAAAGCCTTGGTGAGCCTACTGTGGGCATTTGTCTGCTGAAGGAGCCATGACCACATACACAGCATAGGAATTCCACGCTACTGTAGGACACCCCCATGTCTGGAGGTCATGGCCGGGATGCTCTAAACCTGCTTGAAGTTCAATATTCTCATGAGTGAAATGACAAGAATTGTATTGCTTCCCTGGATTACTGTAGGAATGGATCAAAATCTGACAAAGTCCTGAAGAACTCTTCAGTAGGGGGTCTTGAAATAGCTAATACTATGTGTCAACTTGGCCGGGCTATGGTGCCTGTTTCATCAAATACCAGCCTAGTTATTGCTGCAAGTTCTTTTATAGATGTCAATAATGGGTAAATCCATTGACTGTGAGTAAAGTAGATGACCCTCTATAATATGGAAGGCCTTGAGAGTGAAGATTGAGGTTGCTCAAAGAGAAAGAATTGTGACCTCAAGACTGAAATATCAACATTTACCTGAATCTCCATTGTGTTGGCCAGGTTCATGTTTTAGACTTGCCAGCCCTTACAATCTCAATCTCTCTCTCTCTGTCTCTATCTCTCTCTCTCTCCCCTCTGATCTATAAATTATTTCAGTTCCCCTTATCTATGAGGAATATATTCCATGACTCCCCGTGGATGTCTGAAACCACAGTACCAAACCCAATATATGCAATGTTTTCTTCCATGTGCCCTGCAGTGCTGCCACATAGTCCCAGTTGCTTCCATATTTTATGCTCTGAAGCCTCCTTTGTATCATTTCTTTGCTCTGTAAAATAAGGATCACTTGAACAGTAGCACTACACTCTTACAACTGTCTGATAAGGGGGATGAGCTACTAAGTGACCAAGGGTAAGCAGCATACAAATGTGGACCCACTGGAAGAAGAGATCCCTGTACAGAGCAGGACAGCGAGAGACTTCACCACCCTACTCAGAACAATGTACAATGCAAACCTGATGAATTGTGTGTTTCTGCAACTCCCTGTTTACTATTTTCCAACTGTGGTTGACTGTGGGTAACAAGCTACAGAAAATGAAATCATGAGGAAATATGTACTGTAAGTCTTACTGGCTCTGTTTTTCTTGGTGACAAGTTTGGAAAGCCTTCCAAAAGGAGATCCTGCTAAACAGGCCTCCCCCAGAAGTACACGCGCACTGTCAGAGTTATCTAATACGATTTGAGCACCATGATGCTAAAGATCCAATAAAATGTCACGAAGGCTGCAATCTTCTCTCTGGTGAGTGTCAGGAGGCGAGTTAGGCAGCCACATCAACTGAGGAGTGCTGGGTGGTGTAGGAGCCATGGGTACAATGGTGTGCTCACGCTGAGTGTATGGAGAAATGGGGGCTATTCAGAGAAACTGGAACTGTGGTGGGAGAGCAGAAGGAAGCAGAAGCACATTACAGCTGAATTGCTTCCCCCAGGCAGGGCCTTCTTCCCTCCTGCCTGGCAGTTCTGAAACTCACTCCTAGAGCGCCACTCCTCACCTCCTGCATAAGCAAGTTTAAATTTCCTAGACCATCCATTGAGGCCCATCACAACCTGGCCCACCGACTTTCATCTTACTCTGAGCCACATGCCCTCCCATGGGGCCTTGGCACAAACCATACTGTCCCTCTGATTTCTCCTAAAATACACTGAGAGTTTTCCCACATGTGAGAAGCTACTTACGGTGGGCTTTCTGCTTGGAAAGTCAGACTTGCCATTTTGCTTCAGGCCATTCAAGGCTATTGCACCTTAAAGGCTCAGTGTATGCATATATCTTGACCCTTCCCCAGTGGAAGTAAATATCTCTTCATCTTTCTTCCCTCTAGTCCTTAGGATCATGTATTTATTTTCAGCACATGTGAACAAGATTCTTGAGCTCCTGGTGCCTAGTGTTACACTTAGTATTCACTAGACACTTAATAAATATTGTTTGTGTTAAGCTTAACTGGAAAGGATTGCCTTAGGTTGCTGTAACCGTATCTGTTATCGTACAACTTTTAAATGGCTGAACTGAGGATCAAGTCTAAGTTTTTAGCTCCCAATTCAGACCTCTTTATGCTACTGCACAGCTGACACATGTCCTAGCTTCTGAGGTGCCTGGAACAATCCCTAATTTCTGAGGAGGTGGTGGTAGAAATTTAACAGCACAGAATCCATGGGGTCCTCTTCCTAGAGCCCACCCTTAACCAAAAATTGAACACAGAGTTCTCATTGACTGAAAAGGAGGTCCAGGGACAGAAGACTGGTGAAACGAGGGTGACTGCAGTCACAGTAAGGGACACATTTCACCTCAGGCCCACTTGAGTGTGAAGAGGAATTACTGATGTTGCCAACCTTCACCACCTCCATGGTCCCCTGATGTCCCCTATTCTGTCTTGGGCTGGTTCTGCTCATTCTGGTGGAACCTGACTAAATTGATTTCAGGTCACTCTAATAGGGGCGGTCAGAAAACCACTTGTGGTGATGTGAAATGACACAGTGGGAAAATTCAAATGGGCACAGACAGGACACCCCTTTTCTTTGTCCATAGCTTCCTCTTGTTCCTTTTCTGTCCCACTCCTTTCCTCTTTTGGTGCCAAGACATTTGGTTTCATCCTGTCCTCTTATGCATGCCTTGATGACAAATAGACACTGTCTCCCTTTCTCTCCTAAATGCTAATCATAATTTTAACCTACTGGAAATGTTATCTATACAATAAGCCTAACATTATATGTTATTATACAATCAAAGCCCCCAAAAGCAGGTCTATTTCTCATCTGTTTTAATATTTTCAGCAAACAGAAAGCCTAGTGACTCAGTTTTGGCCATTGCTCTGGCCTGACTGGCCTGAGGCCTAGCTGAGTGTCACCTTGGCTAGCCTGCAGGAGTGCACGGGTTAACTTAAACCCTAGCCATCCCTCTGGGTCTCTGAGCTCCTTGTATTCTCAGTCATGAATCATTTTACCCCTT